TTCTTTTACAACTTCATTTTTCCAGCGTCTAACATGCATTGACCTAGACCTCATCTAGTTCTGATGGCTACCAGGATGTGTGCTTGGGTATTCATGTGTTTTAAAAATTCCTGTTTCAATTTCTAATATGACATTATTCATATAAACAAAAGCTCTTTGAATTTCTCAATAATTTTTATATGTAAGAAGAAAAAGTATGAAATCTGCTGGTTCAAATACTGTTATAATCCCAGCACCTTGGGAGGGTAAGGCAGGAGGATCACAAGTAACTCATCAGCAAGTGAGTAAGACCTTGTCTGAAATTTAAAAAGGACTGGGGATATAGATCAGTGGTAAAGTGTTCCCGGGTTCAATCCTCAGGGTCAAAAAGAAAGAATGAAAAAAAACAAGAACTCTGCAAGGTAGTAACTCTGAGGCTATATTGCAATGACAGACTCCAGGTGATGAAAGAAATGCTTCTCCCATGGAAAGCCCCGCCTCTGTACCCATCAACAGTTGCTTAGCATAGTATGTTTGGCAACACAAAATGGCAATTCTTATACAATGTAAAAGTGTTCTCTTTGGATTCCATTTTTCTTGGACTATGTACCCTGTCAGAGATTGATTGTCTAGACATTAGTAACCATTCTGTAACTTGTACTCAATTAGGGTTTCTGCTTATGATTTTAGATCTGATGACTATTTGTTTATGGTTTTGAATTGTAGCAACAGCCRCTTATAATTAATATGATTTTGGATTACAAAAGGTATATTCAAACTCCAGGAGGAAGTCGAAGGATGTAGACTTACAGCCTACCCCTTGGCCTGCCAACTAGTGAATTCGGACCACCGGCCTGTGAATAAAGTTTCCATCTCCTGCTTGAAGATCGACTCAGTGATTTATTGCAATCTCACTTTAACATGTGGAATTCTGTCATTTCTGTAGATCTTGGATTAATGAAATATGCAAAACTAGTGAATAGAGAAATTTTTTTTTTTTTTTTAGTGTTTTCTAACTGGCTAAAACACATTTAATCCCCACAACCATCATTTGCTACAGATGCTATTATCACATTTTATACCTGAAGACACTGAGGTTAAATGGCCCAGTACCTCAGGGAGGTACCGAAACTTGGGCTCTGCYCCAGGCAACCTGTTTCCACAGTCTCTTCCCATTATCCCGACTCCTTAACATTTGATATCTCTTAAYTGCAACTTACTTGGTCCACTAGTTTTTCAAAATATGGAATTTAAGAAAGTATTTTTAAAACAGAAAGAAAGAAAAAGGAAAGAAAATCACTGATTTGGTACAACATCTTTTAATTTTTTTTTTCAGTTGTAGATGGACACAATACTTTTATTTCATTTACTTATTTWTTTACTTTAATGTGGTGCTGAGGATCGAACCCAGTGCCTCACACATGCTAGGTAAATGCTCTACCACTGAGCTACAGCCCCAGCCCTTAGTCCAACAACTTTCCTCTACAAATGAGGTCCAGAGAAAGGAAATGACTTGCTAAAGATCACATGGAAAGAATCAGAATCCACAGGGTCCCAGACTCCTAGTAGGAAGGTCTAGACACTTCATGTAAGTAAGCCTACCAACGACTGCACATGAGAAAGAACATCAAGACAATGCAAGAGACAACTTCTCCAACAAAAGCAGCATGACTTTATTGCAGGGAAGGCAGGAAGAAGCAGGGCAAGTGAGGGTCTCTGCAGGAACTCCTTCAGTGAGCAGGACTGCCAAATCCCAGGTCCATGTAGAAGCCACATCAGCGTCCTAGGAGAGCTGAAAGTTAGGTGGAACAAAGGTGCCATCTACTGTGGACATAGCAACATTGCAAAAGCAGTAACAGTTGCACTAAGAGGTAGCATTTGGGGGTGAGGTGGGAAACCAGGCTGCAGAGCACATCTAAAATTCCCATATTCAGCCCTGCACACTGGACCCACCAAGTCCGTTATACCTGGGTTGGCCAGAACTCACTAACCTTGCTGACTCTCTTCTGGGGAATTATCAAGGCTGCTGGGATCCCTAGTTTCATGTCCTATTTTGGTTTATGATAGAAAGGCAATAAAACAGAAGCACAAGCAAATTATCTACCAAGAACCAGACAATCTAGGTGACTTTGTAACCAATGAACATTCTATCTCTGTGGTTACCAAATCTGGCCTCAAATCAATCACTGGAGAGACTCTTAAAACTGATGTCAAAKATGGACGTCCCTTGTGTGTATGAGGTAAAGCCTGTCTGTTCAGTGATTCTTACTGAATATTGTACATCTGAATCTTTCTGGGGCGGGTGGCTGGGGGTAGGTTCTGGGGATTGAACTCAGGGGCACTCAACCACTGAGCCACATCCCCAGCCCTGTTTTGTATTAACAGTGTCTCACTGAGTTGCTTAGTACCTCGCTTTTGCTGAGGTTGGCTTTGAACGTCTCTATCCTCCTGCCTCAACCTCCCAAGCCGCTGGGGGATTACAGTAGTGCGCCAATGCGCCTGGCTGTACATCTGAATCTTTAGAAGCTTTTCCATACTACACATGGTTACTGAGCTATATAGAGATGAAATTATGTGATGATTAGAATTCACTTTGAAATAACAGGTGGGAGCMCAGATAAAACAGCGATGGCAGAGATCTGATAACTGTTGGACCTGGGTGATGGGTACTTGAGATTCACTTTTTTTAACACTACTTATAAATGTTGGAAGCCTCCTATAACAACAAGAAGCTAAAATAAATAAAAATTGAGAATTATTTGGCAAGAAAATAATGAAGTACAGATACAACTTGGATGAATCTTCAAAACATTACATCAAGTTGATAGACACCAGACCCCAAAAAGGTCACATATTGTGTAATTCCTAGGGTGTTCTTCTAGGATAATAAAAAGTTTTGAAACTAGATAGAGGAAATGGTTGTAGATTGTAAAAGGAGAAAAAAAATGCACTGAATGGCACACTTTAAAATGGTTAATTATATATCATGTCAATTTTACTTCAATAAAAAAAGCTACTATGAGAAAAACTCACATTAATCTACACATGATTTATAAATAGCAGGCACTACTTTTTTAGTCAAAAATGCTTGCATGCCCATGCCAGGTTTTCAATCCAAGGTGTCTGTGTTGGGCTTCCCCATGTATACAGACAGCTCAGAAAGAGAAAGAGGTTCCCCCCAACCTTTCCTCCATTTCTTCATGTCACAGAGCACATAGAGCAAATACAATCTTACTTGGAGGCCCAATATGATTCAGGGCTTTTGGGAGACATGGAAGAGTCCTGAACACCCCCTTCATTCTCCCCACAAGCACCTAGAGATAAAGGAACTGTGAGAACAGTGTTTCTCAGAATGGGGAAACTGCTAGTGCTTTACTCCTATATAGAAGTCCTTCATAGAGGGATTGCACAGTAACCTACAAGGCAGAAAAGTAGGGTGGAGGCTTTAGCCCCATTTTACAGATAGTAGTATATACAAAGTTCAAGTATATACAAAGTTCAAAAAGTCAGCCAGGCGTGGTGGTGCATGCTTGCAATCCCAGCTACATAGGAARCTGAGGAGGCAGGAGGATTATAAGCTCAAAGCCAGCCTCAGCAACTTAACAAGACCCTTTCTCAAAATATAAAATACAAAGGATTGAGTATGTAGCTCACTGATAAAGCACCCCTGGGTTCAATCCCTAGTACTTGGGGAAAAAAAAAAAGTTCCCAAAGTCAGTGTTAAATATGAGGGCAGAGCTGGAATTTGAATGTCAGACTCCTGACTATTCATCCTGTACTCATTCCTGAACATGGGTTGTATGATGCATCTGAAATCTCTTGACTTGCATGTGAGGTCACTATATAAATGGAACATGCCTTAGGTTCCAAATGTTCACCTTTAGGAAGGAAGTAGACTACACTCACAGGGGGCCCTCACAAATTGCCAGTTGATAGTAGCTGGTCTCYGCCTGGGAAGCTCTCCCTGGACCTATTTGGAGGGTTAATGCTACCATAACAGTCATTATAGAACTCTGATTCAGGATACTGGACTTTTCTGCCTTTGTCACTCATCTGCAAGGCTCTGGTTGAGTAACTTCCTTCTCCAGGGCTCATTTTTCTCAATTACAGTGAGGACACTGAACCATATCAGGGAGCCATTGTTTTTCATATATCAAATGTACTACATGGTCAGTGACAGCCAGGAGTACTCTGCTAAGACTGGCTGGGCACAATGGGAAGGAATGTTAGATTGATGAGCAAAGGCTGCCCTGGTTTCAGAGTGAAGAGAGCTGCAACAGTGCCACTTACTGCCTCCCTGAGTTATGTAAAACCAAAGGGAAGATCCAGCTTAGATGAGCTACTCTTTTTGCACCAGTCTGGGCAAAGGTCATGCTCAGGAAGCTGACAGCAGAGAAAGGCACAGTCTGAATTAATTCAGTAGGTGAGTGCACTCAGGAGCACAATGCCCAGGTTAGCACAGGTGGCAACTCTGAAGGGACAGCCATTTTATCAAAGCAAAAGACTCAGGGTCATGCACTCCAAACTTGAACCCTGCTGACCACGAAATATACTCCTTAAATCCTAAAAGGGTGCTAATAAAGAAATCTGCCTATTCATAAGGGGCTGTGGGGAATCCCCAAAACTTGTAAATTGTATTAGACAAAAACGAAATATATGGAACCACTCCAAAGAAAGTAGACAGTGGGTTAAAAATAAACCAGGGCACTCTCCTGCCCCGTGCAAGCTCTAAGGCCAAGGTATAAGTTGAGCATTCCTAATCTGAAAATCTRAGTTCCAAAATGCTCCGAATAGGAAATTTTTTGAGTGCCAACATGATTCTCAAAAAGGTTTCGGATCTCAGATTTTTCTGATTAGAAATACTAAAATAAAGCCTATGCAAATATTCTAAAACCGGAAAACTTTGAATTCTGAAACAATTCTGATACCAGTCATTTTGAATAAGGTATGTTCAACTTGTATTACCCCTGACCASAGTGTGAGAAGCAGGTCTGTTCAACAAGTGCTGGAACCTTACTCACCTGCCCTCTTCACTCCACACTGTCAGCCTGTGTTACTTGGGGCCGAGGTAGGAAACAGCCTTTCCCGTTTTATTCAGCGTCGCCAGCAGAGTGTCCATGCTGTGCTCAGATTCAATGCAAACCTTCTTGTTCGGCAGATCAATGTTAAAATCAACCCCTGCAGGAAGAGGAAACGGGTGTGGGGAAAGGAAGACACTCCCAGTTACAGCAAGAAAGAGTTTAGGTTCCTGAATTATTACTCAAGACCAGGGACAGGCAAACCTTTACTGTACGGGGCAGAGATATAAATGTTTTAGGTATTGTGGGCCACATGTAGACTTATATATTCTTGTCTGTGTACTTGACTGTACTTTAAAAATTTAATAACATTCTCCACTGCAAAACAGGAAGGGGGATAGATTTGAGCCACAGTCTGTACTTTTCAATCCCTGCTCTAGACAAGGGCTTAAGACTTTTTTWAAAATAAAAAATGTAAATATAGATATTTTATTTAGTTAGTTATTCCTTCTTTCTTTCTTTCCTTTTCCCCATTTTTGGGAGTACCAGGGGCACCTTACCACTGAATTACAAGCCTTGCTCTTTTTATCTTATTTTTATTTTGAAACAGGGTATCACTAAGTTGCTAAGGCTGGCTTTAAACTTATGATCCTCTTGCCTCAGCTTCCTGAACTGCTGGGATTACAGGCATGCACCACTGCACCTGGCTTCATTCTAATTTTTTTATCATTTTTTTGTGTGTGTATGTGCTGGGCATCGAACYCAGGGCCTTATGCATGCAAGGCAAGCACTCTACCAACTGAGCTATATCCCCAGACCTTTAATTAATTGCTTAAAATGTGGTGCTGGAGGCTGGTATGGTGGCGCACACCTGTAATTCCAGCAGCTCGGGAGGCTGAGGTGAGAGGATTTTGAGTTCAAAGCCAGCCTCAGCAACAATGAGGCACTAGGCAACTCAGTGAGACCCTCTCTCTAAATAAAATACAAAATAGGGGTGGGGATGTGGTTCAGTGGTAGAGCACCCCAAGTTCAATCCCTGGTACCAAAAAAATGTGGTGCTGGGAATTCAAACCTAAGGCCTTGAGCATGCTAAGTATGTACTCTACCACTGAGCTATACCCCCAGTTCCTCATTCTTCTTTTTTTTCTTTTTAAAACAGCTACACAGTCTTTCCAGAGTGTGGACATTACCTGGACTGTGAACTTACCTGGACTGTGATTTAATTAATCTATTGAGCTTTGAACTTACCTGGACTGTGATTTACCTGGACTATGTGTCACTTATATGCATTGTGAACTATCTGTTGATGCAACGAATTGCAGTAGTACCAGGGTATCTTTGCTGATGGTGTCATCTGTGATACAATTTTTCCAAGGGCTTCTTACTTGGAGYGATCAATTGGCTTGGTGGCATTTTGTATCCTCCCCTTCTGCTTGTGGCAGATTATGGTGTTTGTATAAAACCACTATGGTCGTTATCCACAAGTGTGGTTGAGTATGTTGGGCCGGTRGTCAAAGCTGGGTAAGATCCAATTACAATGGTACCAACCTAAGACAGGAGGCTGACGATTTGAGGTCAGACCATCCAATGACGGGTAAGGACCATATGTAGTATTGGACAACCTAAAACAGGCGCGGTCCCTGAGCCACATACTTGTTATTTAAATTAAACAAAAGGGCGAGTTCCATAATACAGCAGGGACACCCAGGCCCCAGGGAGAAGAGCTAATAGTCATGTGGCAAATCCCCAGCCAGGTTCTTTTCACTGTTTTGGATTTTTTCAGATTAGGATCCCAGGTTACAGAGCTTGAAGCCAGCCACTAACTTGCTCTGGGACCTCTGGACTTCCCCTCCTGACACTGGTATCAACACCCCCATTCCACTGRGGGAAAGTACAACTCAGAGGACTGCTAATGAGATCACATCCACGTGGAARCAACTGGAAAACTGACTATTATCATTATTTATGRTTTTAAAAAATAAAATTCTAGCCTGGCACTATGGTATACACTTATAATTTCAGCTACTGAGAGGCTAAGGTAGGAGAAYTGCAAGTTCAAGGCCAGCTTTRGCAACAWAGTGAGATCCTATCTCAAAAAAGGAAGAAGGGGTTGGAGATACAGCTCAGTGGTAGAGCAGCCCTGGTTCAATTCCTAGTACTGCAAAATAGATAACTCAACAAATTAATTAATTAAGATGAAAAAAGAAAATCTTAGAAGACTGGCTGAGCCCGAGATTACCAGAACTCTGATGGCAACTTGGTCACTGCCTCATTGAACCTTAGGGCCAGCTCTCAACCTTCTTTGGACCTCAGTTTCCCCAGCTGTGAAGTGGGGTGCTAAAGGAGAATAATGATTTTCTAAGCATGTTCAAAGGAGATTCATTAAGAGTTCTATACATGACAGGTTCAAAATTAATTTCTAAACTTGTTACCATTTTAAAAGTGTTAATGGAAAATGACACTGAAATGTGTCATACGGCAAAACTTGTCACAATGGAGATCACCAACATATTAACCAGCAATGCCAGGGCTCTAGAGCTGGRCTGTGGGGCAAAATCCCAGCTCTGACACTGTCTCTGATTCCAGCCAAGTTACTGAGCTTCTCTGAACTTCAGTTCCCTCCTACTTCAAATGGAGACAATCAAAAAAGTTACAGGAAATGGCTGTAGAAAGGATTCAATGATGAGATCCACAGAAGCTATTAAGTGAAGTACTCAGTAAATGAGAAGTACCCAATATATTTTGTTTTACTGTTATCACCAGCTTAAACTAAAGCCTCTCCTGCTCCAKCAGTGTGCATCCAAACATGACCTCAGTTGTGTCCCTCCATCCCACCYTCAACTCACGGCGACTCACTCACCGCCCAGCTTGTTGAGGACTCGGGAGACAGCTTCAGCGCATCCTTCACAGGTCATGTCCACAGAGAACTCGTGCTTCTGAAACAAAGGGAGACAATGAGTCAAGCCCTGCAGGGACCTACACTCTGTAACAGCAGGCAGGCTACTCAGGGCCCAACAGAGTGCAGAGGTTGGGCAAGGCCTGGGTGGTATGGGGCTCCTTGGGAGCCTGTTTCTGAGGCCCAGTCTCTCCAACTGTAAAGTGGAATAAGGGTTTCTACACATCACAGGTTRTACTAAATGAAATATTCCCCATAAATCCTCTAGCAGGGTCTGGTACACATGAATAGGATCACCTGGAAAGCTAGTTTTTAAAAAAAAAWTTTTTTTTTCACAGTTCTACCTTCAATTAATTAGCTGTGGACTTTGTCTCAGATCATCAAGAACTCTGGCATGGATGTGCCCCCGTACTCAGTAATGGGCCCATTTATGCCACAGAAAATTGTTTTCTGTATTTGAATCAACTGGGAGTTTACAAGAACCACAGGTTCTAATCAGAAGGCCTGGGCTGGGACATCTGTTATGTCTACTGAGCATTCCAGGTGATACTGATAGGTGGTGATCAATGTCAAAAGGCAGGTTCCCAGGAGATAGGGGTTTTGTTCACAGTGTTGCAATCACAATACCTGAAAYAGTACCTGGCACAGGGCAGGTGCTTAATGCATTTTGTTGAGTAAATGGATGACTGATATGGCTGGGTGACAACTTCTGGGTCCTTTGCTTTCAGATAAGGATTATTTATACCAACACTTACTCATTTTAAAATCTCTAGAAATGAGAACATCTGGAATCAGACAGTTCTGGCTTCAGATACTAGCTTTGACACTTCTAGTGTCAAAGTAAGTGGCCAGAAGTAAGTTACCTAACTCCTCTATGGCTTGGTTTCCAAACACAGATAACAGTTCTCTCCAGATAAGTGCATGGGATGAACAGAGGATTTTAATCATGGTAGCTAACATCCAAAATGGCCTCAATCTTCTTTGTCTCCTGGTATTTATCTCCTTGAGCAGTCCCATTTCACAACATCTTGGGTTGGACTGTGTGTCAAATAGAATATGGCTGAAGCAATATTATATGACTTCTGAGCCTATCACAATGTCATAAAAAGACACTGTAGCTTCTGCCCTGCTGTTTCTGGGATTGCTCATTCTAGAAAAAGCTAGTTGTCACATTATAAGGGCACTCAAGCAAATAGAGGTCTACAAGGTGAGAAACTGAATCCTCTAGCTACAAAGTGAGTGCACCATCCTGGAAGTAGATTCTTCAGCACCAGTCGAGCCTTCAGATGACTGCTGCCTCAGACAACATCTTCAATGCACTTTCATGAGAGACCTTGCACTTGAACCTAAGCTGCTCCCAGATTCCTGACTCTTAAAACCACATAACTACCCAAAACGTGTTTGGGGATAAATAAAAAAGAGCAGTAGATAACTAATCCATTAGTAATCTAGAGATTAGAGCCCAGTACTGGGTTCCTTTATGTAAAAAAAAAAAAAAGTTAATTATTAAATTATTATAAATAATTCCTTCCATTTCTCTCTTCTCTTTCCCTTCAAAAAACATCATCTAGGTTGGTCACGGTGGCGTRTGCCTATAATCCCAGTGGCTCAGGAGACTGAGGCAGGAAGATCTAAAGTTTAAAGCCAGCCTCAGCAATTTAGTGAGGCCCTAAGCAACTTAGCAAGTCCCTGACTCAGAATAAAAAATAAAAAACAGGCTGGGGATGTGCCTCAATGGTTAAGTGCCCCTGGGTTCAATCTCCAGCACCAAAATAAAACAATGTCTAGGGTTGGKATGTAGCTCAGTGGYAAAACACTTACATAGCATACTCAAGGCCTTGGGTTGGATCTCCAGCTTAGCAAACAAATAAACAAAACCAACGTTTACCTTTTTCATGACRCAAATCAAAATATTTCAAATCTACTACAGGTCAAGTATCTGAAATGCTTGGGACCCGAGTGTTTTATATTTCTGATTTTTTCAGATTCTGGAATATTTGCATTCATATAATGAGATATCTTGGGGATGAACACAAGTCTAAACACAAAATCTATTTACATGTCATTATATCTTGTACACATAGGCTGAATATAATCTTATGCAATATTTTTAGACTGTGTTTTGACTGTGACCTATCACATAAACTCAGGTGTGGAATTTTCCACTTGTGGTATCATATCATCACTCAAAAATTTTGGGTTTTGGAGTATTTTGGACTTCAGATTTTCTGACAAGGTTTGCTCAACTTGGTTTTTTGGTTGTTTTGTTTTGTTTTGGTATTGGGGGTTGAACCTAGGAGTGCTTTACCACTCAGTTACATCCCCAGCTCTTTTAATTTYTCATTATGAGACAGGGTCTCACTAAATTGTTTAGGGCCACATTAAGTAGCTGAAGCTGGCCTCAAACTTGCAATCCTTGTATCCCAGCCTTCAGAGTCACTAAGATTACATGCATGGGCCACCACACCTGTGGGGATGCTCAATTTGTAACTCAATTGGAATTCTGAATATAGCAATATATCCTGCAATCCCTGCCCCACATGGCTCCAGTTTTCTTTTCTATACCAAAAGGGTATTAGCCAACTCAATTTTCTCAACTTCAATGTAATGCCTCAACTGGCTGGGTGGACCTGGGGTGGGACTCTCCATTATTAACCTTCTGGGGATAGACATGGAGGCAAAACTCCCCTCCTGAGGAAAATGGAAAAGTCTCTAAACATATTTGCATCTAGATCATCCTCACGCTCTACAGAGGATACTGACTCCAAGAGTTAAGCAGCTTGATTTTCCAGAACTGGATTCTTTCACCTTCATGAGCAGTACACCACTACCCCTTACTGAGGCCAAAGCTATGGAACCTACTTTAAAGAAAATGGTCAGTTTTTCTCTTCTTCTAGTTAAACATATTCTGATTCCTTCAGTTTGTTTCACGACTATTCAACAACAAGTTCTGGGAAGGTTATAATGGATATTCCAAAATCTTATGTTTAAAGTATGGTCCTCAGACCAACAGGATCAGCATCATCTGAAAGCTTGTCAGAAATGCAGACTCTTATGTCCCACACCAGACATCCTAAATCAAAGTCCTCATTTAAATAAGACACCCAGGTCACTATCCATATTACAGTCTGAATGATGCTCAAGAACATGGATAGGCAACCTACAGCCTGCTTGTGATTTGGTTTTACAAATAAAAGTTTTTGTGGAACACAGCCAAACTTGTTTGTTTARTTTTGCACTAGAACAGCAGAGTTCAGTCATTGTAACAGAGATCATATTGTTTGTAAAGCCTAAAGTACATACTAGCTAGCCCTTTAAGAAAAGGTTTGCTGAGTCTTGATCCAGTATAACCAAGAGAATCAAAAATCATCGGTGGTTTGCAGCTGTATACTGAGCTCAAGCTTTTAAGAATTTCCAAGATTAACATAAGAGCTAAACCTCTTGWATGCCTACTATATGTCAATTCTCTTTATACAGTATCTTTCTAGCCTGAAAGGGAGCTATTCAAATAATTTTACTCAAGAGGAAAGTGAAGTTTCCAAGGTTTCACTAAGGTGCCCAGTCTTGGGTAAATAATCATTGAGGTCAGGATATGAACCCAGGGAAATTTTGTTGGTTCTAGAAAAGCAAAGTGCACCGCCACCCACCTCAAATCTCTAAAATGGGAACACATTGTTAAAAAGCACAATTTTCTGTTGCCCTATGATCTAAAGTCACCAGATATCTGAAGCTTTCTGCTGCTGACCACAGGGAGCGGGTTTCCTTTCAAAGGTCAAAAAGCAAAGGTCAGAAGCCACAGGAGGTGGCTTTTGGCTTGCTTCTGGATAGCAAGCATTACAATTCAGTACTCTACTGTTCCACCCTTGAATTGCAAAACTAAATTTGAGGGTAACAGAAAGTCGGCTTAATGGATAGAGTAATCCATTCTTTTTTTTTTTTTTTGCACCAGAGATTGAACTCAGGGGCACTTGACCACTGAGCCACATCCCCATCCCTGTTTTGTATTTTTATTTAGAGATAGGGTCTCACTGAGTTAATTAGTGCCTCACTTTTGCTGAGGCTAGCTTTGAACTCTTGATCCTCCAGACTCAGCCTCCAAACCACTGAGATTACAGGAGGGCATCACCACGCCTGGCAAATAATCCATTCTTTATAGGAAAATGTCAAGGACCCACTGCACCAGCAGATGCTTGACTCTGGGCAGTTCCAACTTTTCAGGRCCTTTTGCTTTGTCACTTACAAAACAGGTCCTTTAAAAAGTAAATAAATTCTCTAGGCGCAGTGTGCATGCCTGTAATATCAGCAGTTTGGGAGGCTGAGGCAGGAGGATTGCAARTTCAAAGCCAGCCTCAGCAATTTAGCTAGGCCCTTAGCTACTTAGTGAGACTTTGTCTCAAAATAAAAAAATGGCTAGGGATGTGCCTCAGTGGTTATGTGCCCCTGGGTTCAATACTTGATACCAAAAAATAAATAAAAATAAAAAATAAGTAAATTTAGTCAAGCATTGTGGCATGTACATGTCTCTAATCCCAGTGACTCAGGAGGCTGATGCAGACAGAGGATCACAAGTTCAAAGCCAGTTTAGTAAGACCTTGTCTCTAAAATTAAAAAAAAAAGACTTTAAAAAAGTCTGAGGATCACCAGGCATGGTGGCACATACCTATAATTCCAGCGGCTCTGGAGCTGAGAGAGGAAAATCGCAAGTTCAAAGCCAGCCTCAGCAAAAGCGAGGTGCTAAGCAACTCAGTSAGACCCTGTCTAAATAAAATTCAAAATAGGGCTGGCGATGTTGCTCAGTGGTTGAGTGCCCCTGAGTTCAATCCCCAATACCCACTCCAAAAAAGGCTGGGGATGCATTTCAGTGGCCTGGGTTCAATTCCCAATACCAAACAAACAAACAAAAAAAACTGACCTTATTGGACTACTGTTAGTATTAACTGGAAAACACAAATAAAATATATAGCATAGTCATTGACATCTAATACACAAGAAAAAGTAATTTTTGTCTGTGTGTGTGTGGTGGAATTAAACCCAGGGTATTCCACCACTAAGCTGCAACACCAGCCCTTTTTTTAGTTTTTTCAAGATAGGGTCTCCCTAAATTGCCCAAGCTGATCTTGAACTTGCCATCCTTCTTCCTCAGCCTCCCAAGTTGTTGGGATTAAATGCATGTGCCACCAAGCCCGGCATAACAACTCTTATGTAGGTCCAGGACAAGTTGGGTAGAACTGTAGATAGGCAGATTTCACCCCCATTTAAAAGGGGTCTTGGGCTGGGGATGTGGCTCAAGCGGTAGCGCACTTGCCTGGCATGCGCAGGGTGCTGGGTTCGAACCTCAGCACCACATAAAAATATAATAAAGATGTGTGTCCACCAAAAACTAAAAAATAAATATTAAAAAAAATTCTCTCTCTTAAAATAAATAAATAAAAATAAAATGGGTCTCAGCATTTAGGAGCTGACTTTTGGATACTGACCAGTCCAGGCCTAAGCTCAACCTCAGTTTCCTGAGCTTTAAGAAGAGATAATAGTAGTACCTGCCTTGAGGGACTATTGTGAGGAATAAACAAGGTCATGCATGTAAAGTATTCAGAACAATGCCTGGCATATAGTGGGCACTCAAATATTAGTATACTCCCAACCACTAGGGTTTTCAAGGACAAAATGTCCTAAATATGTGAAAAAGATTCCTTTTCTAGGAGGGGACTTCCAGTTCTGAGAGTCCATTAAAGAATTCCACAACTTACTTTTTTTTTTTGCACCAAGGATTAAACTCAAGACATGAGCTACATTCCCCAGGTCCTTTTTTTATTTTGAGACCAGATCTTGCTAAGTTGTTGAGGGTCTTGCTAAATTAGTAAAGCTGGCCTTGAACTTACAACCCTCCTGCCTCAGACTTCCAAAACACTGGGATTACTGGGGTATACCACCAAACCCAGTTGTGAAGTCAGTTTAACCCCTATTTTACAAATGAAAAAAATCAAGGCATAGAAAGAGGAAGCAACTTGCCTAAGATCACTCAGTGGCAAGCCAGGGTACAGATTTTCTAAGCCCCGTGCTATCAACTTTTGCTAAGAACCCTCTCAGGTATCACATCATCCTTGACTAATCCCCTCCTTCCTTCAGTTGTTCATCTTGGAATATGGTGCCAAGTGCCCTCCTCAGTCCAACCATCTGCTCAAAATCCCCAGACGTGGAAACAAAATACAGTTTTCCTCAACCCACCTTTCCCTTACTGCTAGCCTCCACAAAAACCCTAGGGCCTCTGCTCTTTCAGTTCATGGGTGATTAAGGCTCTCCTCTAACTCAGGAGGACTTGCCAAACTGGTAAGGCTCATTCTATCAGGTTCTTTGTCCATACTTTGTGTAAATTTTGTGAGGATTTGTCTYAAGGTAACTGGGAACACCAAATGATACCTGATATGTTTAAGACTTTGCTCAGCAACCTCAGGCTCACCTGTCAACTCTCAAAAGATAGGCTACTAAGACACGGGACAAAACTGTGGGATATCTCTGGGTACCTACGTGTCACAGACTTATGAACTAAGTACCCTGGAGGAAAYTGCTAAACACTTCATTACTCCAACCAGCATCTCAGGAATGCAGCTGGGATCCAAGCCRGTATGACAGCTTTTGCCCAGCATTTCCCAGGCGGTGTGGTATGGCCAGGAGAGAAGGGGAGCCTGAGATAAGGGGCTTAAAGTATGGTTCTACCTAACTCCTGCCAGGAGCTTAAACAAGTTACTGGGCTTTTTTTTTTCTTTTTGTAAAAAACACCCTCTTCATTTAGTGTTACCCTGTTCATTTAATGACCTGGAAGTAGGCCGGAAAGGGCAGGGGAAGAGAAGAAAAACATGAACCTCTGAAAAACACTGCTGTCCAGGAGGAAACAGCCGGGGCCACCCATCTGCTCAGCGCCACCTCACTGCTCTATCGGTTCAGCTCCAATAGCAAGGGATCCCCAGGGGGAAGGCGCAGGAACTAGATCCCCGTTCCGGCTCTCTGCCCACTCTCCGGGTCTGTTTCCCCACATATGCAGGGAAGGTTTGGGCTGGTAAGTCCTGGAGTCTTCGCGAAGCCTGGCTTCTAAACTTCCTTCSGGTCCTATTTTCTGGAGGGTCGCAAAAGCCAAAGGGTGAGTGGGGAGGGGTAAGCAGTGGGACAATAGTAGCTCCGGTCTCGGCTTGAGTCCCTTAAAAGCAACATCTGGTCAAGTGGCAGGGCACCGAGGCGCAGGCCGAGGACCGCGGGAGGTGCGCGGCCACTTACCGGCATGACTGAATCGGCAGCAACTGCGTCCGAGGTGGCGGCGACGGCGGCTGAGACGCGAGCGGCGACAAAGGCGACGCCTCTCCGGGACTTGAGGGCGGGCTCGGCTTCGCTTCCGGGAGTGCKCGCGGGGAGACCCCACCCCTCGGGGGTCCGGCCATCGGCTAGGCCCCGCCCCTGGGCTGGCCTCGGTTTAGACCCCTCSCTTCCCCGGCCCGACTGCGGGGTAGGCTCCGCCCCCTAGGCTGGGCTCGGGCTAAACCACGCCCCCCCGGCCCGGAGGGCTGGGAGAGGCCGGCAGTCAGCCTGCGGTGCCGCCTTCTTCCGGCGAGCGAGGATCTTGGGCCACCTGCCACGTTTGAAAAAAAGGGGTGAGACTGACGCAGCGCTAGCCTCCATCTATTGTTGGCCATTTTTAGGTCGCCTACTTCATATATGCTTGTGTTAGGGAACACAAAGAAAGGACACTGCAGGGAATAAGACAGATACGTGCTGAGAGCCGGCCAGGGGCCAGCACTGTGCCAGCCATCATCCTAGATGCAGTGATGGTAAAGACCTAGCCTAGCAGGCSGAGATGATAATGCAGTGTTAAAGGATCTGTGTCCTAGCAGAAGGGAAAGGGTCCTTAATTCAGAAAGAGCTGGGTGGGGGATGTTCTTAAAGAAGGGAGGCTCTGGAAGAAGGTAATACTGAGCAAAGATGGGCAAATTGGGAGGGAGAGAGGCAAAGGCAGAACAGTATGTACAAAAGCAGGAGGATAGAATGTACAGGCAGAGATAAAGACTAAGGCAAGTATGCTCAGAAAGATGGAGAAATGCAGTAACAGACATGAGGAGGACTTCCATGAGGTGGAAGTAGATGAAGGTAGAAGTGCTTTAGGGCACTTACAGAGAAATAAGCCGGCCTGGAACTCCAAACACACAAACACATCTAGGCACAGCAGTAGGGTCATTTTGTCCTTTGATATTCCCTGCCAGAGGTTCAGTCTAAGTAGTTTTTTTTTAAAAAAAGATCTCTCTTCTACAGAACTGTTTGGAGAGTTTATTAAAAACTCAGACACCTGCAGGGCACGGTGGTGCTTGCCTGCAATCCCAGTGACTTGGGAAACTGAGGCAGGAGGATGGCAAGTTAAAGGCCAACCTCAGCAATTTAGTGAGGCCCTAAGCAACTTAGCAAGACCCTGTCTCAAAATTAAAAATTAAAAAGGACTGGAGATGCAGTTCAGTGTTTAAATGTCCCTGGATTTTATCCCCAGTACCAAAACCAAAAAAAAAAAAAAAAAAAAAAACTCAGACACCTCACCCTCATCCTAGATACACTACCCTCTAATTTCAAGATGTACTGTTTTCCCCTTCCTTGCTGTGCTCTGGGAAATCTGGCTGAGGAAAACTATAGTTTTTTTTAATTTACTTTTTTATTTTTATTTTTTGCCATGCTGGGGATTGAACCCAGGGCCTGATGCATGGTAGGCAAGCACTCTATCACTGAGCTACATCCTCAGCTGTAATAGCCCTAATACCTTTTGAGAAAATGTACTGGTTATTGATTTATTGTTTCTCAGCTCCCATTCATCCTTTTTGCTTACTCTAAAAAATGGATCTAAACTCTTTAAAAAATTTTATCCCTTTGCCTGCTGGGAGGATATCAAGCTGTTTCAGTAAGTCTCTGGTCACCTACTTCATATATGCTTGTGTTAGGGAATACAAAGCAAGGACACTGCAGTGAATAAGACAGATACGTACTGAGAGAGACACTGAAGGAAGATTTTCCTCTGTGGTTTCCCCATACCAGACCTCTGAGGACAGCCTCTCCTGTGTACAGGGACCGATGGCACCTGGCAGCAGGTAGCTTCCCCAGTACCCCCTATTATGTGTTTGTATAGCACAGTGCTTCCAGAGAGAGCCTCTCTGCAAAGAGCTTTCTCCAGCATCCTGGAGGATAGTTTTCCAGCCTAGAAGGTGATTTTCTAGCAATTTCCACCAGCACAGTACCACAGTCACTTCCCTGCCATTGAGTGGGCCACAGCTATGCCCTCTCCACCGGGGTCTGGATTTCAGAGTGTAGAGTGTGTAGGGGGCACTCTTCCTTAGATGGTCTATCTTAACTGGGCCATGGCAGCTCCTTACATCTGTTATTTTTTTTTTATATATTCTTTAGAGCTTTCCTTCCTCTTATTAGCCAACCTGTTATTACTATAGTCCCATTATAATCTTTAAACTTCCCTTGTCCAAATTACAGAGTGGTTTCTGATTAACTCTGATACAGAGAAATACAACAAGTTGCTTACTTCAAAGAAGAGGTTAACAGATCTACTCGTGGCCTAAATCCAAGGAACATAAATGAAAGATAAGTCTAAGCCAGCCCTCATCACTGGCTTGCACTGGCCCTGGGTGAGGAAGCCAGCTGTAGCACGCTGAGTGAAAGGCATGGATGTTGGAGCCTGTCTTCATCTGCTAGGGTTTCCAGTACAAAATACCACAGATTAGGTGGTAGTTATTGTGAGAAATTTCTTTTCTCACAGTTCTAAAGGCTAAGAAGTTCAAGATAAAGGTACCAGCCCATCTGGTTGCTGGTGGTGGTCTCTTTTCCTGACTTGCAGTCACCTTTGTGCACACAGCAGAGAGTGAGAGTTCTGGTGACTCTTCCTTTCCTATATATAGGGCACCAGCCCTGTCAGTTTAGGGCCTTCATATTGTGACCTCATATTAACTACCTCACTGTTATCACCTCTTCACAGGTCCTGTCTCCACATAAGGTCCCATTGAGGGTTATGGCTTACGAATTTTGGAAAGCACACAGAGCAGAATCTTACAGACCAGGGTTTGAATCTCAGCCCTTTCATTTACTAGTTGTATGACCTTAGGCAGAGTAATTTACTTCTGTAAGTCTAAATATCCTCATTTATAAAATGGAGATAGTTAGGATGATTATACAATTTTTGATCTAAACCTTCTGAGACAGAAAATTTTGCCAGGCATATATCATGATCCATTCAGGCAAACCAAGGGTACATTGTTCTATCAAAGAAACTTCTTTGCAGTACTATTGGAATAAATGTGTGCAAACCACTTAGCACAATGCTTGCACATGGAAGGCACCAAAAAAATCTAAGAATTCTCCTAAGTGCTAGGCCCACCTTGCTGGCACTGGGTTTGCTTTTACTGACAAAATACCCCTTGATCCTCTACCCCCTCTCTGCCTGCCAGAAATTCCTAAAGCTGGAAGGAAGGGAGGGAGGAGAGAGGAAGGGAAAAGGGGAAGGTGGGGAGCAATGATGCAGGCAAACTTAGGTCCAGCAAAGGCAAGTGGATGGTCTTAGCAGACTGCACTGGGGTTGGSGATAGCAAGATTGCAGTGAGCCAGAGAAAGGAAATCCAGCTCAAAGACTGTAGTGCACCAGGAAAGCAACCCAAGTTAGAGTGTATGGCTTAGAGAACTGAGAAGGGGGAAGTTAAGCAGAGAGAAGGAAAGAGCAATTTAATGAGAACACAGCATTATGGAGATGACAGGTGAAGATCTATTAAAGAAGAGGATGTATAGGATTATAGTTCCTCTGTGAACATATAGATAAATTCTATCTATTTACCCCCCAAATTAAAGTAATCTACAGCTGTTACTAGAACTTATCTTGAACTGAGTGCAGGATTACAGGCAGGATTCCAATGTACACAGTTTAAAATTTTTCAAATAGCACAAGATGGTATAAGGTAAAAAGAAGTCTTCCTTCTACTCTACCCTTACCTCCACCACTGAGCCACATTTCGGCTCTCCCCATCTGAAACAAAAGGCTTGCTAAATACATGCACTGTACTTTAACAGTGTTTTCTCAATCTTAGAAATTGTACTTAGTAATACACATGGATCCCTCTCATTCCTTTTTGTTTTTAATATTTTTCTAGTTATAGATGGACACATTATATTTTTATGTGGTGCTGAGGATCGAACTCAGTGCCTGACACATGCAAGGCARGTGTTCTACCTCTGAGCCACAGCCACAGTCCCCTCTCATTCTTTTTAATGCCATGAATCCTATTACTCAGTTGTACCATAATTTGTCTCATCAGTCCCTATGGTAGAAATCATCGGTTGACAAATTCAATATCCATTTCCAATTTCTTTTTTTTTCTCTTTTTTTTTTTTTTTTTTTTTTTGTGATGCGCTGGATTAAACCCAGGGCTTTGTGCATGGGAGGCAAGTACTCTACCAACTGAGCTTTATCCCCAGCCCCATTTCCAATTTCTTTACTCTTACTGCTAGAGAGGCCGGGATCCCTTAATACTTGCTTTTCCACCCTCCCAGGCAGCCACAGGTGTACCCACATAACATGGCTCTGGACAATGATAAAAAAGAAAAGTTTGCTAGGATGATTCTGGGAAAGCTTTTCTTTTGGTACCAGGGATTAAATCCAGGGGTGCTTAACGACTGAGCCACATCCCCAATCCTGTTTTATTTTGAAACAAGGTCTCGCTAAATGGCTGAGGCTGGCTTTGAACTTGCAGTCCTCCTGCCTCAGCCTTCAGTGTCACTGGGATTACAAGTGTATGCCGGGCTGGGGATGTGGCTCAAGTGGTAGCACGCTCGCCTGGCATGCGTGCAGCCCGGGTTCAATCCTCAGCACCACATACAAAGATGCTGTGTCCGCCAAATACTGAAAAATAAATATTAAAGTTCTCTCTCTCTCTCTCTCTCTCTCTCTCTCCCTCTCTCTCCCTCTCTCTCACTCTTAAAAAAAAAAAAAAAAAAAAAGAAAATTTCCCTTAAGCAATTCAAAAAAAAAGTTTAAAAAAAAAATACAAGTGTATGCCACCATACCCATTCTGGGAAAGCTCTTGCATTCCTCATAAAGGAAACATACACCACTCCTTTGCCTTTCCTGCCTAGAACACTATAATGTGACTGATATGTAGAGTAAAAGGGCACCATTTTGTCACCATGAAGGAAATGCCAGGAGAATCACAGTTGAGTCTGACACTGAACCAATGCCAGCCATAGCTGTTTTCTAGACTTGTTATATGAGAAATATAAGCCCATCTTTATTCCTACTGGTAGTAATACTTTGTTACTTGCCCCAACTAAAAAACATATAGATTGTTTCCAMTCATCGAATGCTGTTAATAATGTAATGACAATTCATATATATATGCCTTTGCTTATAGCAGCACATGCCTGTAATCCCAGCAACTAGTGAGGCTGAGACAGGAGGATG